GAGTGGGTGGTCTATTTCAAATTTCTGACTAAAATAATTGAAATTTGTGAAATAAAGACATATTTATTGTGTTATCTCTTGATTCTTATTTGAAGTTTTTGTTTCAATTTAGCATACTTCGACTATCATATTTTCGCTTACGCGATTTCTTCGTACGATTTGACTTTGCTTTGAATCTCAAAAACCTTTTGATAATTTTGGTTTTTAAAATGTGGCAACCAGGAATTTCCAAAGGTAATGATTTTAAAGACTTTTCAAGAGAAGAAAATTGATGCTTGGTTAACTGGAGGTGATTTTCAAAATGCTGGTTGATGCTTTCTTCAATACAAATAAAAAAATAAAATATGGATCGTGTAACAAAAACTAATGGCTTCTGACGAGCTCTGCCCAGTAGAAATGAATATTTTCCATAATTTTTATCATATGGAACAGGCAAAACACATTGGTTGACGTAAGTTTCACAAACATTACTGTTCCTGCTAATACTACCCATGATATATACAGCAACATGATACATAGCATTAGCTTCAGAATTGCAGTAAGATACTTGCTCACAACATACAGTTCACGACAAGTTTGAACACTCCGACGGCAAAACTATATCAACAAACCGAGTGACAAACGCGCATCCTCGCTTGAATGATTCTTTCCATCAACAATTTTTTCAACAAAAAGGAAGAAGAAGAAGACAACCAAAACAAAGCATCTGTCATTTGAGCTGGCTCCTCTCTCTTGGGACTGAACCAGTGCAAGAGGAGGGGGAGTAGCCGTTGCTGTGAGGCGTAACACCAACTGCCACCTGCTGCCGTACTTTCAACTCAAAATTATCGAAGCCATCGGGGTTGAAGTTGGCACATCGCTTGGCCCCACCACCACAACATATTGAGTTCGGACACTCCCACCCGGTTGACTATCCGGTGCTCACGCCACCATCGGTATCTACATCAGGAACATGGGCAACAACATCTCGCAGCCTGTCGTGTATCAGGAACTCAGCTTGGACCACTATCCGGTGGTGGCTGAAGCGGATTCCTCAATCAACAAGTTTCAAGCATCACGGCGTAGATTGGTCGCAGTTCTAACCACAAACGAAGTGACAGACGGAGCGGCTCGAAAACTTTGGTGACTAACCTACTATTGCAATTTTTCAGTGTACCACATGGCAACACCACTACTACTGGATTGTACCATATGGCAACACTACTACTGGATTGTACTACACGCTATTTAAAAACTACCCAAATTTGGGTAGAATCCACCCAGATTGGTCAAAACTGAACCTACCCAAAAATGGGTAAACTATGTTGGGCGTGATAAGTTGACAAATGGACAACATCGACATGAATCCGATCGACTTTGTTCATTTGTCAACTTGTCACTCCCAACATAGTTTACCCATTTTTGGGTAGGTTCAATTTTGACCGATCTGGGTGGATTCTACCCAAATTTGGGTAGTTTTGAAATAGCGTGTAGCATTTTCGCCAAAAATATACTAGAATGTTTTGGTTCTATCTTTTTCACTCTGCTCAAAACTGAAATGCATAAAAAATGACAAAATGATACGCTCTTTGCACACTGTCAAAGAATCATTGTACACAAAATCAACTTTGTTCAAATAAAAACAAAAAATCTAACCCATCTGGTGGTTGATGGCACAAGCTTCTAAGAAAATTCTATTACAGCGAACCACATTATAGAGCTTTTTGACGTTTAATCTTCGCACACTACTGCACCATTTAAATCAAACAAGTGCGGGCAAGAGGGAAACAGATTAGTGGGAAAACAAACCGTCCATTCATCCATGTGCGCTAGATAGAGAAAGACGATTAAACGTCAAAAAGGTCTATTTTAATTGATTTCTTCGCTAGTTAGTCGTCTGTCACTTCGTTTGTGGTTCCAACACTGCGTTGCACGCTATTTCAATACTACCCAAATTTGGGTAGAATCCACCCAGATCCGTCAAAACTGATCCTACCCAAAAATGGGTAAACTGTGTTGGGAGTGACAAGTTGACAAATGAACAACATTGACATCAATCCGATCGACGTTGTCCATTTGTCAACTTGTCACTTCCAACCAGAGTTGCGACCTATCACAATCACGATCGCCAAACAGCTGATGGTAGTAACAACAATCAATACGAAACTAACGATTATAAATTGGCTCACTACTTGACTAGCCTATTGGTCCCAAGCAAACGATTAACATACCCCATTCTAGTCGAAATTCTAGTACTACACAATGTTTGTTTTGATTCGCTATGAAAGTTTGACAGATAAAATGAGGGGTTAGTGGATTTTCCTATGTTTCGAGGGGTGAATCGATTAGCTTGGGACCGAAGATAGTACCAGAGCTGAGCCAAAAAGTTGAGCACGTTTCTTTGGGACCTTCTGGTCTTAGAGTTACCTCTATGGTAGTAACGCTTTGTATATTCCTATCAATGTGCTCGTTGAAGCTCTCTCCAAGACCATCCATCAAGTTGACGAAAGAAGTAAAAAGCAACTGGTGAATGTCGTCTTCTGTTGTGATCCATCACCGATCTGGTCATTCCCGACAATCACGACACTCATCTGTGCTCGTTTTGAAGCAGTTGCTGCTTGACTTGCTTATTTGAGTGTATTGGTGAGTGAGCCCAACAGCTTCCGTTTCATGTTGCCTGCTTTGTTTGTAACTTACACAGTCGCGCCTGCCGAGACGAACTTGGAATGCGTAGGCATTGTTCTCATTTTCTTCTGTCGTTTCGTTTTTTCTCATGATCGTACTGCAGAAGTCGTCACTGTTTTCGTTCTGCTTTTTATCATCAGCAGCGAGTGTAGCGTTTTGCTTGTGAGCAGCGACCATTAGTGGTGATTGTTGTTTGCCATGGCTCTAACACTCACTGCGTGACAAAACGATCTGTCAGCGATAGTCGGTTGGTGCGAAGACGAGTGTTACGTGAGTGTCATGATATTTTTCATCACTGCTTCCAACACAGTTTACCCATTTTTGGGTAGGTTCAGTTTTGACGGATCTGGGTGGATTCTACCCAAATTTGGGTAGTTTTGAAATAGCGTGTGCACCAGTATCGACTATGACGTCCACCTGGAAACGACCGACGACATCGACCGGTGTCTGCGCTCCATCAATGAAGCGATTTCCCGAGCCAGGGAGCAACGTGTTCCAGTATCCAGACAGGTGAGTAATACTCTGAACCTTGACAGACCCCACTAAAGACCTCTTTAGACTCCGCAACACGATTCGTAGGCAGTACCAGCGTACTGAGCTGCCTAACCTGAAGACCAATTGCAACCGTTTGAACAAAATTATCCATGTCTCATGGTACTGGATCTCAGAAATATCGATTTTGCAAACAAGATTCGCTCTCTCCCAGATTGTGCTAAGCCATTCTGGAAAATGGCAAAGATTTTAAAAAATAAGCCCAGGCCCATCAATCCTCTTTTCTCTCCTTATCAGAGTTCGGATTCATCCTTACTCATAACCCCAGTGGAAAAGGCCAATGCTCTTGGTCAACACTTTGTGAATTCACATAACCTTGGTGCAATATGATTTTATATTTTTTCTTGAAAATTTAGACTTTTTATGAAAAGATTTGAGTGTGTTTGGTTTATTTCCTTTTAATTCCGTTATAATTGATTATCTTTTGACAGATACGCGTATTTCGTCAACTATTTGCAGACTTCATCAGTGCCAAGTACTCAAAACCAGTGTCACTGATGAAGTCTGCAAGTAATAGACGAAATACGCGTATCTGTTGAAAGATAAGCAATTATAACAAAATAAAAATGAAATAAACCAAACACACTCAAAGCTCTTCACAAAGGGATTCCGTTTAGAGGTTTGACAAAATTAAAAGATTGAGGATTTCTTTATTATGCTCTCAATGCTCTCATTAGAATCATTCTCGTTTCAAAATACCCCTAAAATAAACATGAGCATCTCTCTGATATCCGTAGTAATTTTCTTTATAACATTCTCAAAATTCTCTGTAGAATATTCAAAAAAATTGCTGGAACTCACCCTAGCTCTAGGAGTTTTTAATTATTTCTCAAAATAAATCACCGAAGCATTTCATAACTCAATCTTTAATCCCGATATGAACCAGCCTACGGCTGAAAGTCTCTTAAATAAAGAAAACCAAACATCTATCTTTAATTCCCATGCAAATTCACTTTTAAAATGTAAATTCTGCACATAATAATCTGCATTACAGTACTTGTTCGCTAACTGGGCGTTCTTTACATCAAAAATAGACGTCACATTTAGATTGTCATTTCGTTGTCAAAATTGGTGAGGGGCATTCGAAAGGAATATAAAGTTTTAATATAAATAAACTTGAAATCATTTTCATTTCACACTGAAATCAGGACTTGAATGCGTTCTTAGCGAAAGGGTTAAGCCTATCTAAACTCGCTGAATGCTGTGAAAATATCAATATCAAACTTTACACTGTTTCGATTCAATGCATATTAACTTTTTTAACGTCGCTCAAACAATTCATTGAAGTGTGTTCTTTGACGTGTTCTTCTCGGAATCCCGTTGGAATTTTCTTTAGAATCCACCAGAAATTATCCTCAAAATTTCCTTGAAGTTTACCCCACACCGTTTGAAAAATTCTACATTGCGCAAAAAACATTCCAATGACCAATGTCTTATTTATTCCCGGAGAGAGGACGAAGTATATTTTTTGCACAATTGGTCTTCCAAATTCACGGACCTTTCCTGGTGTTTTCACAGTGATTTCAAATCCCGTCTTTTTCTGATTGTGTCTATTTCCCGGTTTACTAGTTACCCTGAGAGCATAAAAAACATAAAAAGGTTGATTTTATAGCAAAGCAAGAAATGTGTAACCTTGGGAGCGCAAAATTGAGGATTTGCTACCAAACACAAAATCCTGAATACGGCTCTGACTATGAGCAATGTGGACCAGTAAAGTTAGCTCGAAAATGCATTACATGTAAAACAAAAAATAAATAAATAGAACGATTTAAGAATTTACTCACCTTCCGGCAAAACGGCCTGGACGTTCTTCTCCTTCTTCAGCAACACATTGCTCAACCGACCCAGTGAACTGTTCTCTCCGAATCCATCCAACGACTTCAGCTTCCCCTCCACGATCCACTTGCTGAAATACTTCTTCAGCTCTCCTTCAACATTTTTCGCACAGTTTTCGACAATCTCCGGGTGCGGTAGCAGGTGGAAGTATCTCAGTGCAACCGCTTCCAAATATGGATTGAACTGTTTTGGCTTGTTCGTGCTTGGATTGAACATATAAATCAAAAAGTTATCCGCCACCGGTAGTTCGACGGTTTCCTCCTGTTCCAACTGTCCAGCAGCTTCCGCTTCGACTCGTTCGAACATATCATCTAAATCCGACCGGCGTACCTTTTCGAAGGCTTCGTTGACCAAAGAGTGGTCTTTTTCCACCAATATACCTTGTCGTTCGGCAGCCTGGCGGAAGGAGAATGCCAAGAAGGACACCAGTGTCGGTACGAGTAGAGGATCGGTGTGATACAGTGATTGGAACCAGATTTCAATTTCGGTGGGATTGTTTCCAAACAGGGTGGTATTGCGGAAAAGGGTTAGCAACTGTGTGGTGGATTCACGTTGCATTTCGGGGCTTCCGTTGAGGTAGACTTTTGTTAGGAGTTTGAGAACCGATGGGAAGAGCTCCGAGTTAAAGGCAATCGATTGCGGCTCGAGGGCTATTACGACCTTGATGGCCTTGAATTCGTACGGCAGATATTCATACTCTATGGCGCGGTGGCGGTACACGGGGTCCAGAATATTTCGGTAGGTCGTGATGAAGGAAGATGATTCGATATACGAAGGGAAGGTTCGGATGCAAGCCAGTAGGATGTCCATAGCATGTTCCATGGCTATGTATGGCTTTGCGACGGCTTTATCCAAACGATGAAACATCATTGCTGACATGATGGCGTCAATTGTAGGGAACAGCGCCAGGATCTGGTTGATGACATCGAACTTGACTTTTTTGAGGTCGAACTGGTCGAGGTTTTTAAGCTTGGAAATTTCCTCGAGGTATTTCTCGCACTGGGTCAACATTACGGATAGAAATTCCAAACAGTATCCGGTGGCAGCTTTCTTATTGATGGAAGTGGTTATAAATTCCAGTACAGTCCTCGGGAGGGTAGATTTTGTGACAAAATTCGACACCTGTTTGGCATTTGCTGCGGTGAAATGCTTTGTGACCTCTTCCGGATTTGGTTGCCGAAGAATCTCCAGCAGAAATTCATTGCACTCCACTTTCTTCGTTTTCAGCAGGGTGCCGAAGTTCTCCAACACTGCAGGGAGAACATCGGGGCAAACCTCGAATATCTTCAGGACTAACTTTTTCTGATGCTTGTGCAGTTGTGAGTTTTTCAATGCCAGCAGAATGTGTTTGTGGCGAGAATTGCCTCTTCCTAGGTCGACGACCTTTGGAACCAGATGATACTTTTTGGAAGTCAACAGTGGAAGAATCACCTTCTCCGCTGCGTTCAACACGGTATTTTTCATCTGCAAATCAACTTCTTCCTTGGCTGGTCCAACCCACTCGTATACATTGACCAAGGCTTTCAGAATGTCCGTGCTAAATGTGGTTCTATAGATGTATTTATCGATTTCGTGCGATTCCAGAACGTACTGCTGGATAGTCTTCAGAACGAAAATAACATTCTCGGCTCGATCGTACACCAAGTTGTTCAGCAAAGGACTCAGCAGTTGAAAACGACTTAGCCACATACGAACGAGTTCCGAACTCGTATCGATCAAAAACGACAGATTGAAGTCAATGAAGACTTCCCGTAGCGACTCCTGAGTACCACTGGAAAACGACTGTCTGTACTTGCCAACTTCCATCTCCGGTAGGCAAACATCTAGCAGTTGCAAAATATCTCTTCCAAAATTTTGATCCACCAGCAAAATCGCTTTGAGAATACGAAACCCTGCCATCAGCAATTGCTCATCCTGTTGTCCTTTCAGCAAGGACAAGACCACCGGCTTGTAATCGGTAAAAATCTTCCTGGCACATTTACTCGCATAATCGGCATGGACTTCGCCGTAATTTACACTCTCGATCAGAATGTAATGGATCAGCTCAAGGAGAATCGCTATGTTGGATAATTTTTCCTTATCCATTGAGTCCAGGATTTTGAGCAGGGGTTTGAATGTACCTCCGGCACGGATATAGTCCACTGCATAGGAAGGATTTTCCTGAATCGCACGGGTGAAATGTCGAATTGCTGAAAATTGATATTCATTTATTACAAGGAAATTATAAAACAGTATCAATCAACATACTGTCAACAGTAACGACTCCCTTTGTCAGCTTCTGGCGGAAGTTTTCCACCACTTTGTTAGACGGTGCCCCAGCGGCATCTTCCTTCGCATATCCATTCTCCACTTCATTCGCAACATCTCGCTTAGCTTTCCCCTTCTTACCACCCGTTCCGTTTTGCTGACCCGTTGTTTTCTTCACTTTAGGTTTTTTGATCTTCTTCTCCTGAGACACCACACCGTTCTGCTCGTTTTCAACTTTCACTTTTTTCGCCCCAAAAGGGCATTCCCCATCCGGAATCGGTTTTCGTTTGATTGCCGTAGTAGTCATCTTGTCGTGGAACACAGTTTTAACAACTTTTGCACTATTTTACATCCAAATTTTCTGGTAAAACTACGAGCGAAATTTTTAGCCACAACGCGGAATCAAGAAAAACCATGCGGTCGCGACAGTGAGAATCTGGGAACTGTCAATGACGGTGGAATGGAAGAATTCGAACGAAAATAACGCGACATTGCACACACACCAGTTTGGAATGTTGGTAAACATGATCCGATTTTTACTATTACATGGCATGTACAAGTTGTTACCGAGCTGCGTTCGGTGCTACCTGCGACAATTGAGTGAAGCGGAACAGCTGGTTTGAGTCTTTGTAGACGGGATGGGAACAAATTTTTCGTGGGAGTTCCCAAGCACGGAAAAACGAAAGCAAATCATCAATCATTTATATGTTAATCATTTTCAGAAACAAATGTCTGTTACTTGTGCTTGTAGTGCTAATACAATTCCACATATTTTTATTGAAGAAGTTCCATGTGAAATCCCACATGATTTTCATGTGAGCACACATAAACAGAATCCACCCAGAAACACACATGGAATGTATGAGTCAAATGAATAGTATGTGTGGTTACACACGGCTACACATATTAATATGTGTACACATATTAAGTATGTGTCCTAAACATAGATATAATTTGTTGATCACATTGCAAAAATTCATGTGTGGGACACATAAAACAGTCTTTGAAATTTTATTAGTGTATGGATTTTAAATATTTTTGTACTGTTTTCTACTCATTTTTGCATTATTTTCAACCAATAATGGGTTTAAAAAAACATAAAACAATGATTAAAATTTATGCGATGTGCAAGTAATGCCTTGAGCGGTAGCCAGACTGAGCAGTTATAACATAGAGGTAACTATTATAACATGTAATAACGGTTTCAAGGCATTGTTCAGACTACATAGCTATAACATCAATGATAGCGCTATTTTGATGGTGATTTCTGTGTTGCAAATATTTGGTTTAGAAACGTTGTCTGATCCGATCCACGTCTCGTTAAAGTATGGACGACTGTCACCACAAAACTGAAAAAGCTGTTCCAATCGAGCAAAGCGGTGCAGTTTGACGGTTCGATTTGAACAACTTTTGACAGACATCCATACTTTCCAACAATCAATACGAAACTAACGATTTTAAATTGGCTCACTACTTGACTAGCCTATTGGTCCCAAGCAAACAATTAACGTATCCCATTCTAGTCGAAATTCTAGCAATATTTGTTTTGATTCGCTATGAAAGTTTGACAGATAAAATGAGGGGTTATTGGTTTTTCCTATGTTTCGAGGGGTGAATCGATTAGCTTGGGACCGAAGAGAGTACCAGAGCTGAGCCAAAAAGTTGAGCACGTTATTTCGGGACCTTCTAGTCTTAGAGTTACCTGTATACTTTAATTGCAGCGAGAATTGCAGGGCTTTAGTCTGAACCGTGCCGCCAGCGCCGCTGTCTCTCTCTCATTCTCTGTGACACATCTCACTCTCTCTGTTTGAATCTCTGATACCTGTCACTGAATACATGGCAGTATCACGTTACTACTTATCGTTACCTCCCTCCTTTTTTTCAAAGACCCAAACTATGTTATAGCTAATTCGTTTATTATTCAATTCCAACTCGGATCGGGTATCAAGATTGGGTCTGCTTGTTTTCTGACAAACGTCAGTTTGCTCGTTTGTTTTTGAAACTTAGCTCAGGTTGAGGTTCGCACTGACAAAAAGTTCGGTTTCGCACTGGGTTGGAACTGGTTATGTTATGTTAATCAAGCTGTTTCTTTTATTACTTTGTAGTTATAAACAATTTCACTTCTAGTGTTACACTACGTAATCATTATACTTAGCTCGTCGTTAACGGATTCTCAGGTGTCGAGTGTTGACATCCGCCTCTCGTGATGCTGGGTTTGGAACACCGGAATTGTAAGGAGCTGGTTCACCTAGCCCTTCGCTGTTAGAGCTCACCTCTGCTCCCGGCGTATTTTGACCGCTGTCCAGTTTCTTGAGGTGTGTGCTATTTCTCACTAAAACTTTCCCGGATTCCTTTGATTCGACAGCGAACGGGGCATTTACAACACGTAATTCTTCTCGGAAGTTTGGCTCAATTGACCCCAGTTTCAAATTCGTCATTAGGACCGTGTCTCCTTTTCCCAAATCAAATGAATGGAATTTTGCTCTTGAGTTCACGATTGAACATCATTTGACCAGGTGATACTCCCGTTGTTTCCTGTGGTGTGCATCTGCCTTTCTACCACCCCGTTTTGTTCCGGCCAGTATGATGTAGTCAAATTTAGATGAATTCCGCTGCTCTAAATTGCGGCCTGTTATCTGAAGTTATTGATCTGGGAATACCAAATGGGCTGAACATTCTAAGAAGTGCCTTGTGATTACCTCTCACCCCAGCAGGCCTGGGTTCAATCCCAGTTGGCACCACCTGGATGTCCATTTAGTGGTCACAAGTCTAAATTCTACTTGATGATCCTTGAAGAAGTGCAAATCGACAAAAGCTGGCAGTGGGTGAGATATGGATGATATGTTTGATCTAGCAAAAGTTGCGCGGGATCTGTACCTTTCTCTGGAGACCTCATTTGTTCCGAAATTCCAACTGAGTGGCAAGATATGTCGATTGAAAAAAAAGGGCGCCCGTTTGCCCCCATCACCCCTATATACTTTTCTTACCTGCCATATTATCACTGTTGAATTTGGGACACTTCTTTAAAATCTCCCAGCATTCCATGTAGCGGAAATCCTCGCCGTTTTCTTGCGTATACAACTGAATGGCTTTATCGAGCTTATCTTCCTCGTTCGTCCCGCTTTCATTCAATCTAATTATGGCTTTGTAACAGCCAGAAAAACTTCTGAACTGCGCGGCTAATGACGCCCCACCGCTGTCTCAACCCCTCTAAAGTTCTCGCCTCAAATGATTTAATTTTTGCCTTGCAATCATCGTGGACAGCCGACCAAAAAACTGTTACACTTTTATCGGTGCCTTTGATAGAATCTTGCGAGATGTTGATCCAAGAGATACATAATTGTTTACTTTCTTGGTCAGAGAACTTCTTGCCTCGTCGATTTTGTGACATGATCTGTTTTGTAAGGAGGAAAAAAAAAAATAATATGATGAGTTACAATAATTTCAGTCTTGAGGGCCTATCATATAATATGTCAATATTTTGACAAAAACTGTAATGTTAAGCTCCGTTAGAATATTTTTAGTAGACAAGCAAGACTTCCCTGGAGCTTCGTCAGGTCTTCCCGAATCTTCCTTAGGACAGTCCAAATTAACGGCAGGAGTTCCCGAAACCTCAGCAGGACTTCCCGGAACTTCGACAAGACTTCCCGGAACTTCGGCAGAACTTTTCGGAACTTCAAAAAGACTTCACCTGAACGTCGGTAGGATTTTTGCCAAGACTTCCCGAAACTACGGCAGGACATCCCGGAACATCAGTCAGACTACCCTGGAACTTTTTTAGGGCATCCCAAATTTTCGGCAGGACTTCCTGGAACTTCGTCAGGACCACCCAGATTTTCGACAAGACTTTCTGGAACTACGGCAGGACTTCCTGGAACTACGACAGGCCTTCCCGGAACCTTATCAGGACCACCCAGATTTTCGACAAGACTTCCCGGGGGAAAGAGAAGGGACCATCATCATCATCAGGACTTCCCGGAACTTCATCATATCTTCCCGGAACTTCTTCAGGATTTCCTGGAACTTCGTCAGGACTTTTGTTTTGTTCGGACCACCCGGATGTTCTGCTAGACTTTTTGAATCTTCGGCAGGACTTCCCAGAACTTCAGTAGGACTCCTGGACTGAATAGCGTATCATTGTGCAAAAACAGCGCACTCCTTCCGCATAATCATGAAGATAGAGCCAGACAACCAGTTTTCGCAGGGAATTCAACATCCTCAGCACCCGTCGCATTTTAATGTAGCTCTTTGGCTACAAAGCTCAGCTTGAAGTGAGCTGATCGGGTCAGATTCTTCTGGGTGTGTGAAACTTACCTATGGTCGACAGCTTCCACACAATTCACGACCATAGGTAAGTTTCAGGGGGAACGTGAAATTTAAGAGAAAGTGTCAGCATTTACGACAGCAAACGCCACTTTCCATCCTTAATACGGTTTACGATGCACATTTGTTGGGCGGCCGTCAGCACCCCCGAACTGGATGCAAAAAATTTCGCATCAGGCACCTCCGACACATCATTTACCAATCTGAAACTTATCCAGGAAGTTCCCAAATATTGTATCGCCACAAAGACACATCGCTCTGAAACCAGAGGAATTCCTCCGCATTGGACCAACCTATATATGCAAATCAGTTTACCGCTGCTATTTGTTGTTCAGTTTGCTGGGAGGGCGTGAACGGTCATATGCTCTATGCGGAAATTATTTCAAAAACGCACTGCAAAAGATAAACGTTTACAAATAAATAAATCAATTTAATTACCTGCAAAATCCGCGAAACGAAACTGTTGATAGAAGATGAAGCGAAGGGAAACGTTTTTTTTTTTCTGTCTGCTCTGCCTAGTTAACAGTCAACAGTGAAAAGCTCATAAATACACTCACAGAAGTTTGAAACAGAGTTCCATTTCTATTTCAAACACGCGTAAAAATGAAACAGAACTGTCGAGCAGTTGCAAATTTGTTCCAAACAAGTGCTCGAAAAATGAAACTGCAACTCAGCATTGCGAGGGGTGTGTTTTTGTTCTAGTTTCAAATTGAAACAGCCCATATAAAAACAACAGCATTTCGAACAGCCTAAGGCCGTTCGCAATGCTGAGTTTCAAAATTGTTTTAAACTACTCGTCAATTCTATAATTTGAAACTGTCAAAAATAAAACTGCAACACGATCAGCGCAACGCACAGTTCTAAAAGATGTTTGTAATCATCAAGTTCCATAAACTTTACTGTTCTCTATGAAATTTTCCGTTTTTATTTGTGAAGCTCTCGAAACATCTCTAACACATCCAAAGAAATTTGAAACAGAGTTCCAATCGTGTTTCAAACTCGCTCAGAAATAAAACAGAATAGTCGAGCAGTTGCAAATCTGGTGCAAAATAGTGCTCGAATAATGAAACTGCAACTCAGCATT